GTTTGGTGCAAGACTACAGAGGGTTGTGTTTCGCTGTGGGAACCAGCCTTTGCAGAGGCTGGCAGGGTGTGTGAGTTTCACCCTTATTTCTGTTGCTCCAGAACATGCTGGTGGAAATAGAGCAGAAGGTGGTGGCCCTGTCAGAGCTCTCGGTGCACAACGAGAACCTGCTGCTGGAGGGCAAGGCGCACACCAAGGAAGAGGCTGAGCAGCTGGCGGGAAAGCTGAGGCAGCTCAAGGGGAGCCTGCTGGAGCTGCAGAGAGCCCTGCACGACAAGCAGCTCCACATGCAGGTGAGGGCTCCCAGCCCGCAGCGAAACTTGGCACGTTGTTTGCACGCCTCTCCTAAGCATGTGACACATGAAGGAGCAGGTGGGAGGGTGATACGCACTCATGTTTGTACCTGTTTTACACAAACATTTTAGCATGACATTTTAATTTTACACTCTTTGACTTTGGCATATACTTTCGAATAGGTTTCGTAAGGACTACTTGAGTCCATAGACCTAAGGACTGCAGTGAGGGGGAAAAGAAATGAAATGAAAATAATTACCCCAAAACTTTAAATGTAGGTCCTGGGTGAAGTTATGCAGACACTTTCACATTTCTCTTTTATTTCTCTTACATTCTACCTTTTAGATATATTCAGACTTTTATTTAGTGCCTACAACTTTAGAATTGTCATAGATTCCAGGTGAACTCAACTTTTTACTGTCATATAATGACCGTAGTGTTCCCTAATAGTGATTTTTGTTTTATATTGTGAGAACTTTTGGGGGTAATATTTGCCTGACATGTATTTTAACTTTTCTTTGATTTCAACCTTTCTGGGTCCTTGTGTTTTAGGTTTGTTTCTTATAAATAACATTTAGCTATATTATATCGGTTTCACACATTTATTCAATTAGAAAATCTGACTCTTATAGGACAAGTTTAGTCCATTTAAATTTATTGTGACTACTCATGTGTTAATATATTGATCCTTCTTCAGATCAATGTAAGAATATTAGAACACTGTCACTCAGTTTCTCCCCATGTATCTTACATACATATTACCTAGCACTTTAATTCTGTTTTTTAACCTCCACAAATTAGATATTACTATTATCATCTTCTTCAGAAATTAAGCAAATGTTTATTGAAAAGCTACTGTGTGCCAGCTAATGTTCTATGCAATAGAGTGAAGGAGCATGGAAAATAACTATCTATATATATCTGTATATTCCTATCTTCCAGGGATTATGGTCGGGGGAGACAGATAATAAATACAATTAGAATGAATTATTACATACCAAATTAGAAGATGGTAAGAGGTATAGGTGACATGACACAAGACAAGTAGGTAGGAAAAGGCAGGGATGGGAGGATTTGCAGTTCTAAACAGGGTGGCCAGGGAATCCTCGCTAAGGTTACTTTGAAAGTACATGTGAACCACATGGTTGTGAGGGAAGAGAGTTCCAGCCAAAGGAGGAATTAAGTACAAAGGCTTCCAGGTGGGATCATACCTGGCCTCTTCAAGAACACCAGTGTGACAGGAATGGCGTGAGCAAGAGGAGAGTAGTTGCAAAGGAAGTCAGAAGGTGTCTTAATGTGTTCAGGCTTTATAACAAAAATACCATGAACTGGGTGGTTTATAAACAACAGAAATTTATTCCTCACAGTTCTAGAAGCTAGAAAGTCCAAGATCAAGTTGTCAGCAGATCCAGTGTCTGGTGAAAGGATCTCTCTCTGATTCATAGATGGCATTTTCTTGCTGTGTCCTCACATGGTAGAAGGGGCTAGCTAGCTTTCTGGGGTCTCTTTTATAAGGGCACTAATCTCATTCATGAGGGCTCAATCCTCATGATCTAATCACTTTGCAAAGGTCCTGCCTCCTAATATTATCACATTGGGGATTAGGTTTCAAAATGTGAATTTAGTGGGGGCACAAACCTTCAGACTATAGCAGACGGTAACAAGGGGCCCAGGTACTAAAGGACTTTGTAGGCATCGTGTGGACTTTGACTTGGAGACTCTGGAGGAGATGAGAAGCCATTGGAGTGTTTGGGAACAGAGGAGTGGCAGGATGAGATTTTAACACTGTAGGGAGACCAGGGTGGAGGCTGAGGGGACCAGTGAAGAAGCAGTAATAGCACAGTGGCAGAGGTGATGAGAACTTGCCAGATTTTTGATATCTGAAAAGATGGAGACCATCTGAGGAACAGATATTGGAGGAGGAGGAATAGTTAGGCCAGTAGTTTAGTTTTGGACAAGTTAAGTTTGAGATGCCTATTAAATGTCAACTAGCAGTTGGAATTCACAGGAGAGACATAGACTGGAGTCATCAGCTTGTAGATGGTACTTTAAGGCATGAGATTTAAGGAGCTCAGCAGGGGAAGGAAGATGGGTAAAGACTAGGGTCCTAGACTAGGCCCTGGGACAATCCATCATGAAGAGTTTGGAAGATGTGGAGGAGCCCCCAAAAGGGAGTTAAAAGGAGAAGCCAGTAGGAAGACTAAGAGTTTAGTTCCTGAAAACCTCTTGAAGACCATCAGATAGATACTGTTGGAAAATGAGGTAAGATGAAGACTGAGAACTGCCCACTGGATGTAGCAACATGCACATCACTCATGCCCTAACCATCCATTGGTTCAGTGGAGTGAAGGAGGCAAAAAGCACCCTGAAGTGAAAGTAACAGTGATAGGAGGGGCATTGGAGGGAGAGAGTACAGGCTACTTCAGGAGTTTTGCTGTAAAGGTGTCTACAGAGGAATGGGATAAGCTATAAGAAAGTAGATCAAGAAAATTTCATTTAGTTTTATTTTAGTTTTGAGATCAGAAAAATAATGATGTGTTTACATGTAGGTGGAAATAACTCAGTAGAGGAAAAATTGATGAAAAAGGAGTGAGATGACAAAGGCAATCTTCTTGTGTAGGAGGGAGAGGATAGGATCAAAAGTGGAGGGTTTGGTCTTAGAACTTAGACCAGAAGTGGAGGGTTTTGTCTCCCCTTCCCTTTCTGCTAAGCCAGGGACCAGGTAACCCAGAAGCCCAGTAACACTTGAGGGCAGAGTCAGGACTTTACTCAATTTAAACAATTCCTGTGCCCCTGGGCAGGATCTGCTAGGTGTGGCACCACATGGATGTGCTCAGCCCGGCCCTGGTAAGTCTGGAACCCGGCTTTTCAGCCCGTCAGGAGTTCCTTTCCTCCCAAAAAATGTGGCTTGGAAAATACTTTAAAAACTACTTTAAAACTACTACACAAAAATGAAAAAGTTCTGTATGACAAAAAAAAAAAAAAATTGGCTGACTTAAAAGACATGGACAGAGAAGAAACTATGCAATTCACAAATCTTTTATAAATCAATAAGAAAAGATCACCTGACAGAACTATGGACAAAGGATATGAAGAGATAGTTCACAGAAAAAGAAATACAAATGGACAATGAACATATGAAAAGATGCTTGAACTCCTTAGTGGATAAATGCAAATCAAAACAAAATACAACTTTTCACTTTAAATTCACACACTTGAAAATGCACATGTAATCTGACTTTACAATTAAATCAAAAAGAAAAACATTAAAAATATTAAAATTGAATATAACCAGAATCATTTTCTAACTTTAAAAGTAGACAACAATCCACTTAGTTTTATATGCAGGTATTGTCAGTATAACACAATGCTTTTCTCTTTCTTCAGCGGTGATCTGTCAATGAACTGAATCTCCAAAGAAACTAAAACAAAGGGAAAGTCTTCAAAATTTCATATGTGGGATAACAATGATTTATAAAGCTCTTATTACACCCTTATTCTGCTCTACCTGTAGAGGTAGGTAGCCTCTAGGTGTAGAGGAAGAGGTAGCTTGATATGCCCATGCACACCTAGAGATTAAACAAGACCTTAGAGCCTGGGGAGGAAATCCCAGTGAGTGAAACAGGCCCCCTCAGGCCCTTGGCAGCTGTTACTCTGCGCCAGCTGTTGTCATACAAGAATTTACAGGCAGCATTGCTAGATCTTCCAGTCTCTCAAGAGATGGGAAATTAGGATTTATTTCTAAAATATACCAATTTTTAAACATTGACATATAATTCTAGAATGTTTAAATAATTTGTGTGCCAAATAAAGCCTATTCACCCACCGGGATTGAAGTCTCCCCATCTTGGTCCCACCAGTTATGGACTAGATGATCTGGGGGAAGAGCCTTGAATTTCCCACAACTTTCTTACAGATCAGTTTACTCATCTTTAAAATAGGGACAATAATAGTATTTAACTTAAAAAAAATCATCCTGAGGATTTTAATGCAAGTAATGCTTACAATAAATGTTCAAATCACAGCAATTGTAATAATAACAATAACTGTTTCCAAGCCACATTTTTTGGGAGGAAAGGAGCTCCTAATGGGCTGAAAGTCCAGGGTGCAGACTTACCAGGGCCGGGCTGAGCACATCCGTGTGGTGCCACACCTAGCAGATCCTGCCCAGGGGCACAGGAATTGTTTAAATTGAGTAAAGTCCTTACTCTGCCCTCAAGTGTAAGCTTTCCTGTGGATGCTGTTGTGTGAAGTGTAAATACAGAAAAATGTAGTGTTTTACCACATTAAAATTGGTCATTGTTTATTTTTCAAATGTCTATAAATTCCATCATCTGTGTCTAATGAAGTTCTCAGTATATAGAATATTGATGGATTTTTTTAAATAATTAGAGCTCTTCTCCATCCGTGGGAATAAAAGGAGTCTTGTTTACATTATTATTGCCATGAAAAGGATCATTTCCCTTTATGTAGAAAACTAAAAATATTTCGGAGTTGATCTAAAATTAAAGTTAATTGGGGAAAAATCTATTCGATGAAGATATCGGTAATATTAGTGCCCTTTAATTGGGGCTTGGATGATTCAGGAGGGCTAGAATACCTTCCAAAGACTTTTGTGGCTATAAGCACACAATTTCTTAGTGCTGTCGTATCTGTAAAATGTTAATACCTGTTACCTCCATTCTTTTTAACCAATTGGACTTGTGTAGATATCAGTGAATAACTAATCTCTTTTGTTCCTCACCACCACTAAGTAGACCGCTTCTCTATATGAAGAGATATAGATTGAAGGGCAGGAATAATAGCTCTTGAATCACGTAGTATCTTTCTTCGTAAGAAGTTTAGGTCGTGTTTACACATTATCATCCATTGAAGGAGCACAGAGTTTGCCCCATAAAAATAATAAAATGCTTTTAAAGAAATTTTTCATTTAATATTTAGCATTTCCCAATCCTCATTCATCTTCCAAAGAATGTTCCTGGCAAAAGTGTTTACCATTCTAGTATTTCCAAAATAAACAGCTAATGTAGCCCCACCCAGTGGTGACTCTGGCGACAAAAAGCCACCTTCCTCCCCCCCATCCCTAGATATGAGAGAAAACTGTCATCACACCTCAGAGAAAGTAATTACCATAATCGTGTTCCCTCTGGCAGTGCCTTCTCTTCCCAAGGGGAGAGGGAATAAAATGTGAACTGGATTCTAAATCATTTCTTGCTTCCTGTGGTCTAAGTCTTAAGTTTCAAAATGACTAAGTGAGTCAGAGAAAAATTCACTAACTGAAAAACTGAACCTAACCACATAGAATCTGAATATATGTCTGTGCATGTAAAAGTGAGTGAGTTGTTCTTAAGACCTGATACTTCAATTGTCATTGTTCCAAGCACAAATGTGGTGTGAGGGATCGGAAAGAAACGCTCTCATAGAAGAGTGAGTTGGTGCCAAGCACTGGGAGAAGTTACCAAGGGCGTCTTCAGGCTGGGCTCTGAAAAACAAACTTCTAGCTGAAGAGAAAAGCAGAGAGGAAGTGGCCTGGATCCCACAAAGGAGAGTCAGCAGGCCATGGCCAGGGTCACTATTTTGTCAGCTGGAGAGACTGACTGGGGACAACTTCCAATCTTATGCACTGACTTCTTGAGGCCATTCTCTATAGGTCCCTTTTGACCTGCTGTCTCATCCTCACCTGGAAGAACCAAGATCTTTTAGAGCTTATTCTTAGAAGATGGTGGATTCTTAGATGGGGGAAAATCTGTTCCATGCAGAAAATCTTGGGCTCCAGTCTTGGAAGAATGCCCATATACCCCACTTCCTGCTTTCAGGAAAATCACTGCTTATCTTTGAGAGACATTTCTGGGAGGGGAGAGAATTAGTTAACTGGGTGTCACTAGTCACCCATTTTGAAGGTCTTGCAAAACATAAATAGCATATTTTAAACCAATTGTTCTTCCTACACCACACTCCCTGGCTCATCTTAAAGGAGAGGGCGTGCCTGTGAGCTAAGCTGGTCTCAGCGGATTACGTGTTCTACCTGTAGGGTTTACTGTTCCACTTCAGTTCATTTAGCTTCAAGCACTGATACTAATGTTGCAAACAGTCCACAATTTAATTATGATATTCTAATGAGAAACAAAAGGGTAAACAGACCTCATCTATTTCCCTGTAATGGTGAGTGTAAAATTCTGAAAGGAAGAGGCAGAGAAGGGTCTCTCTGGGCAATTAGGCCAGCTGAGTTGGGATGTTTGGATCCCATTGCATGGTCACGCTTGGCAAAGACCCACCGGGCAGGGAGCTCCAGAACTAGATGGCAGGATGACTCCTATGGAAGCAGCCCAGAAACTGTCCCTCCTCTCCGCCCCACCGTACTCCGGCACACTGGCCTCGTCACTGCTGCTGTTCTCTCCGAAATGCCGAATTGCTTTCACCTTGGGTCTTTGTGCCAGCTGTTCCCTAGGCTGGCTAGCGTGCCCTCCCCTGGATCTTTGCCAGGCTGGAGGTTTCTCATCTTGCAGAGCACAATTGTGTCTTCTTAAAGATGCTTTCTCAGACCACCCTAAGAACTTTCTATCCCATTATCTAGTTTCACTTTCTTTGTAGCCCTCATCACTAGCTCACTTTATCTTGTTTGTTTATTGTCTGACTCCCTGCCAGGGCCCTGGCCTTCCTTTTTCTTTGCAGAATACATCCAGCTCCTAGAGCAGTTTCTCACACTTAGTGGCTATTTAATAAATATTTAGTGAATGAGTGTTATTGAAATCGTGTATTTATCCTTTGACATATGAATATATGTGAGTAGAAAGGCTCCCATTCAGAACTAATCTCATTTGCTATGCAGCATTTTAGTGCCTTTCAAATCTTATTAGAATAATCAGCCAGCAGGGACAAACTTGCCTATGTGTGAAGTCATTGCTTTTGTCTTTCTCCTTTAGCCAAACTTTATCAAAGCCATGGCAACCAGCTCCTGCTGATGGCGTAGAGGGCGGGATCAGCACTTTTCCAGAGATGTCACCTTTGATTACCACGGACCTCTGAAGGCTCAGTTAATCTTTTGAATTTGTAGAATTGGTAACCACATGTGCCCACAGTTAAATGATATTTTTTAATGTGCTAATTTTAAGGGTTTGAAAGACAAGCCTTTAAAGGTTTCTCATATGTGAGCAGAGTCTATTCATTATATAGAGCAGTCTGTAAACATAGCTGTTAATATATAAACAGCACACACTCAAAATAGAGAATTCTGGGAACAATTCAAATCTGGAGCTCTAGTGGGGTGGACATAGAAGGTTTGTAAAGACCGGTTTCAGGGACGAGGCTTTCGCCCACTTAAATGTCTTGGGATTTGAGTTACCTGTGGTTGACCACATCCTGCAGGCCGGTGAGACAAGAGGTCTGGCCCTGGGTGATGAAAGGTGGGACAGAGGATGCCCAGACACCCTGGGAAGCCCTTGCCTCTATTCTACAGACAGTAAATTTTCTTCCATATGAATCAGAAATAAAGTTTAAGCTCTTACTGAATTCTAGAGATTGTGGTACCTTACAGAACTGTGGACTTACTGCTTCTTAAAGACACTGAAATCTCTTTGGTTAGGAACCTTTTAGGAAAGTCTTTGAGAAGCAAGTACATGCCACATGCCTTCATTGCACAGACTTGGGTAGAGAAGGTGGCATAGGGCAGGGTAATGCTTTCACAGGAGGGACACAGTAAATTATGATGGGGAATGATCATTTGAGAAACATTTTACTTTGTGTGACAGTCAACAAAAACTCATAAAAGATCTAGAGTTATATTTTTGTGGAGAAAATTCTGGCATAATATCTGGTGAAACATCGGTCAGCTAACCTCTAAATAGATGGGTCCCCCCTCAAATATTTCTGTGTGTGGTCATCTGTTTATTGTTCTTGCTCCTGGAAATGCCATAACTTAGATGGGCTTTGTGTTACTGCCTTTAAAAAAAATGTGGTTTCATGTCCAAGTGGAGTCACTTTGGTATCATTATACAGATCACGTCAAAGCCGTCTCTACATTTTGGTTAAGGTTTCTCTGTGGGTACCATGACCCTTGATTTCTGCCTCATTAAAAGCAGGGAACAGCACAGGAGAAAGAGGAGAGTGATGTCGACCTAACGGCCACGCAGAGCCCCGGCGTGCAGGAATGGCTGGCCCAAGCTCGCTCCACACGGACCCACCAGCGGCAGAGCAGTCTCCAGCAACAAAAAGTAAAGTGTTTTCTACCTCTCGCTAGCCTGCAGATGTTCAAGGGGAGAACTCGAATGAAATGTTTTAGAAAGACAAATTGCTTCTTGTACTAAAGACAGAGAGTCCCTTTATCTTCTCTTTGAATGAAGCAAGATGCAGCTAACCCTGTCAATGTACTGACTCATGACCATTGGAATGATTGGTCATTTTAAAGTGCAGGGTTTAAGAAGAGCTGGTGTTTAGGTTTACAAATAGTGTAATGCAAATATAATCCATCTTATCATGGATACCTACTCTATTTTCAGATTTGCCCTCATTTGAGTCTGTTTTGTTATAATAAAAATCTCAGGAAGGCCTTTGAGAATTGGTGAATGTGTGTGCATTACATGTTTTTTTTAAGAAATGCAATGTATTTTTTACTTTCAAGTGGATACCATCACAAAGTAGGATTGCACATTGTTGCCTAGTGAAACAAATGAGCTTTGATGAATAAGAATAATTCCTCATTGATACCTTAACTGTGTGCAGAAGGAATACTAAAATTTTATTTTCTCAAAGAACAAGAATATTTATTACAAATAATGAAGACATAAGACCAAATCCATTGATAATCCAGTTTATCAAGTTAAGTGGGAAATTCAAAAAGCTGCTGCTCTCAAGGATGCATCCTGGCTTGCACAGTACTGATTTTGAAATGTGAAACTGCATGTTGTACCACTTGAGGGCACCATTGCCCAGCAAGATTTTATTTTCCCACTGATTCTCCCTCCCCCGGCCCAGATTTTTCAGATATTCTTTATCAAAGCAAAAGAAAGCTATAGAGTAATCTGAAAACACATCTGAGTATTTACCCACACCACACCTTTTATGCAATGTACAAACTTAAAAGGTTTCTACCAAAGTTCTCTGAGAATTTTATAGACGTAGAACCTGATCGTAGACAGTAATCAGAAAGTAACACGGATGTTTGCATTTATCCTTTCCCTGGAGCAGGAGTTAGAGCAGGAATTGGCCGAGCAGAAGAGCCTCCTCCGCTCAGTCGCCAGTAGAGGAGAGGAGATTCTAACCCAGCATTCAGCTGCAGAGACCTCTGGTGGCGCTGGGTATGTTCTGAAACACAACTTTCTCTTCACTGTGTTTCCCTGACATTTGAAGAAATGTAAACATCTCACTCGAAATTTTATTTTAAACATCTTCTGAAAAATTTAGTCATGTTTTTCAATTTTACCTGAATTTTGAACATTTTGTTGCATAGCATGAGCACAGCTGGTAACTATAATAAAATATAATAGTTAACTTGTTTGCCTTCCTTCCAATACCTTCAGCATATCAGTCCATGAGCTCATTTTTTTAATCAGATAAGAAATTATTATAAAATTAGATCCGTGATATCTCCAACTGAATAGTTCTATCTAACTACAGAGCATTTTCCCTGCAAGAGCTTCTCTTCCCCTCATGCCATTCTGAAAAATAAATGTATGTGCTTGCTAAATATCTTAACTGTTCTTGATGGGTCTATTTCTATAATTCCGGCATGTAAGGTCAGTGAGCTTGGGATCTTGGTTTGGAGTTGAGACTTTTAAAGTCTTACACACAGAAAAGTAAAACGTTAAAAGAAACATTGAGGAAGTTGGAGAATTTTCAAGTTGAAGATTTTGATTTAAATGGTAGGAAGGTAAAGGAATTGTAATAGAGTAGAAGTATCCCTATATTTTGAGTCAGGTCTGAGTTTTATTCTAGTTTCACACCCATCAATTTGGAAAAGTCGCTTAACTCTGAGCCTCAGTTTGCTCCACTGTAGAATTAGAATAATAATCCCCTACTATAATCACAGAAGTGCTGTGAAAATTGTGAATGTCAACTGAGAGGATATATAAGAAAACTATTTTTAAAATCTACAACATTAAAAAAAAGTTTTAATGAAACCTCTGTTCGTGTATTGCTAAAGGTTGCAGTTTGGTAGTATCCTTTGGCAAATACCTTTGACTCTGTATCTGAACTTCTTTTCAGGAGAAATAACATAAAGAAGGAAATATGTTTTATGGAGGTGATTTGAAAAATATTATATGTAACACCAAATAATTAAAAAGGCAGAAATGCTCTCTTATATAAAAAAGTTGAAAAATTTATATGCATATATAATCTTAAAAATTATATAAAGGTCTCAGAAAATGTATATATGATGCTAAATACAAATATAAAATTGAAAGTACAGTATGTGTGTAGATAGAATGTAGATAATGAAAACTACCTTTGGAGATAACAGATGTGGGAGCTTTTTAAAAAAACTTTTTTACAGTTTAATCAATGCAGACATATAACATCAATGATGACTATATATAGGGTGTGTATATATATGAATTTTGAAGACAAATGATAGGAGAAAGCAAACTAAAATGCAATTGCAGCAGATACATTAATATTATGACAAAATATATAGGAAATAGGAAAGCATCAAGAGAAGAAAACAAAATAGGAAACTGAAAGTATTGGCACAGCTAATAAATGTAAATTTAAAAGAGTAAGAATGAGTACTCTTAGGATATCTATGGTCTGGGATTACCTTTAAATAACTCTAAAACTGTAAAAATTATCTTAATAATATAAAGGGTTTAAAAAATCTCTATTGTCTATCATGCTTAAAAATTCTAGTGAGGCCATAAATATGTATCTATAGTAAACCCAAAATGAGGCACTCTGTTCCTTCATTGATTGAATCGAGACTTGCCTTCACTTTGCTTTTTTGTACACATTATAAATTGAGATTATTTATTCTTCTAATAGTGAAAAACCTGATGTGTTATCCCAGGAGTTGGGAATGGAAGGGGAGAAATTATCCATGGAAGACCAGATGAGGATGAAATGGGAAAGCCTTCATCAGGAATTTAGCACTAAGCAGAAACTACTACAGAATGTTCTGGAACAGGAACAAGAACAAGTGGTATCAAACATTTTGCTTTTATATAGTAACTAATATAGAGGACTTACAGCTCATGCTGAAGGAATATAACTGTGCAATAATCTATATTTTCATAATCAATTCCAAACTAAGACTTGAAACAAATTTTTCATTCTGTATTTTTCTCAGCCTGTTTTACATTTTCCTTAATAATTATATATTTATATGTGAAAATTTATTTCATTTCTGGATAATATTTTTTCTCAAATATGATTAATATCTGATTCCTTGTTGGCATAAACCATTAAATTTCAAGTGCCCTATTTTTTAAAAAATTTTTTGCAACCTTGAAAATTAGGAATGCAAATCAAGAATATACACATCTAGGACAAAAAGAATTCCTCAAATCTGGAACTAAATTGTCAGGTCATCTTATTTTCCATTGCTATTTCCAGTGTTTAATAATTTCAGGAGATCTTAATGAGAAACATATTGGGACCTTGGTGGGTCTAAAGGGAAGGAAGCCAGTGGTTAGCTGAGTTGGTTACTGACCCATGCGTAAGGCTGGTTCCTGGGATGGATGCTGTGTGATGTTGGGCTTGGTTCCATCAAACATGCCAAATCCAAGGGAATTGAATAATAGCAACAGATGGTACCAGGTAATCGCTCTTAGTTCACTCTAAGTAAGCCAGGGAACAACTGGAAATCAGAGGAATTCGAAAGTTAAGAGGGCTAATGAGTGAGCCAGGAACCCAGAAAGTCTGGGATGCCTCCTACAGCTGTGGCCCAGAAGGATTCTCAAAATAGAAGACCAGTCCCATGTCCTGGGCCAGCAATGCCTGTCTAAGCTCATTCCAGGACAGTGGTCTTATTAGGGTAAATTCTAGAACCTTTACTGCTGGTCTGAGGAAGCTGCTACTCTCTCTGCTCTGGCCATGACTGGCTTAAGGGCTGGGCAGGGCTGGACGTTGAGTGAAGGGTGTCATGACTACGGTACATCTGAGGGCAGGCAGGAGCTGACAAAGCAGGTGCTACAAAGCATACCGCCAGGACTAACTGAAAGGAGATGGTCTAAAGGTCATAACATGTCCCCGCAGCTGTGGAGAGCCATGCCCAATTCTCTCCAGAGCCATTCTTTCTATCCCATTTTATAAAACCCCATGGCCTGCCACACTTCCTGCCCTCCACTCTCCGAATCTGGCCAGCAGCCTTCTTTGCCACTGTCTACGGGAACAATCACCAGCTTCGGCTCTGGGAAATTTAAAGCACTCCATTTCTGCAGGCAATTATTCCAGAATCATACTCCACCCTGGCAAATGGTGCCCTATACTTTTTGCATGGACCTTCTAACTGTGTTTGAGCTAACCCTTAAATCCCTGATCAAACATCCCTCAAGTGTAATAACAGGCACAATTTTTTAGCCTGAAGTTCACTAGGTCAAAGGGCATTAATCTCTCAGAGCAATTTTTCTTCATCTATGCACTTCCAGTGTATTTACTGCTTCTATACAGAGCACCCCACATGGCTTCAGGATGAGATACAGCTCGTGTTTCGGGGAACCTATAACCCAAACAAGGAAATATTTCACGCATTTCTGAAAAATTAAGCAACCATGATAACTCCATAAGCAGGAATTCAGAGAAAACAGAGGTTAAAAAACTTAAAAAAGAAGAAAGTCACTGTAAGAGGTGTGGAATTAAAAGAAGCAGATTATAAAGGGGTGCTGGGGAGTGGACATTCCAGCTGCCGTAGGGAATGTTTCCAATCAAACTCGGTGTCCTATGATTTTTCGGGACCGTGAGTAATCAGCCTGAAAGATGAGGAGGAGTTGTTTTGAAAAATCATAGGCGACTGAGTTTGATTGGAGACATTATCAAAAGGTTTGAATGCTAGGCCATATTATGATTGTTACTGGGGAACCATAAGTATGCCTAAAAGAGTTTACGGGAGATAAGGTCAATAATGAGAATGAAGAGATCAGTTTAGGTCTGGTGTTTTGGATGGGTTATTTCACTATAGGTAGTGCCAAAACAGAGAAGACAAATTGAGAAGAAGAAGGCTATGATAACATTTCAGACATTTAAAAAAATGATTGTTAATAATTTTCTAATTTATATAATCTATCTTTGAGAAAAATCACTCTACTCGTTTTGAAAAATCACATACACTTATTGTAATGAATTCACATTATGCAGCCAAGTATTAAGGTGAAAATTAAAAAGAACAGTAATTATAACAAGTCCCATATTCTGGAAATCAGCTTAATCTTTAAAGCCATCAATGCTCATGACCAGTCCTTTTAGCATATCTCTTTAATTCTTAAATTTTTAAATTTCGATTCAGCTCTTAAATATCTATATTTCATTGTGAAGTTATTTTTTTTAAGAACTCAGGTTCTATCATGTTTGGAAATATCAGCTAGTTGGCCTCTATGTTTGATGGACATTTTGCTGTATGTAATAGTCTTCTGTCGTACTTTCATTCCTTCAGAATTTGTGTGTGTGTGTGTGTGTGTGTGTGTGTGTGTGTGTGTGTGTTACTGTCCTCTGGCATTGAATGAAGCTTTAGAAAAATATAAGGTCAATCTACTGTATGTAATAGTCTTCTGTCGTACACTTTCATTCCTTGACAGAATGTGTGTGTGTGTGTGTGTGTGTGTGTGTGTGTGTGTGTGTTACTGTCCTCTGGCATTGAATGAAGCTTTAGAAAAATATAAGGTCAATCTACTGCTTTTCCCCTTAATTTTTTTGATTTTCTGCCTGGATACCAGAATTATTTCTTTTTCTTTAAGTTTCAGTAGCTTATCTAGGTTATATCTGGTGTTAAGTGTTCTGTTATCATATTATTCTTGTAACACAATGTGTTCTTTTTTATATACAAAAATCAAGATTTGCTTTTTTACTTACTTTAGGAAATTTTTCTTGTATAATTTAAATTTATTTTATGTTAGATTTGTTGTATCTCTGCTTCAAGGATATCAATTACCCTTATGTTAGATCATCTTTTATTTTTTTCCTGTATCTATTGACTTCTCTTTAGTTGCATTGATCTTTGTATTTTTTTAATTTACATTCACTTTTCATCTGATTATTAAAAGATTTTTCTCTATGCCAGTAATTCCATGTTCAACAATGTCTGTTCTCATGCTTTCTGTTTCTAATTTATTTATGTTTTAGTTTTATTTATTTCATAAAGTTTACAAGCTAACTTTTAATTTCATTTTCTTGTTTTATACTCTCAACTTTGAGCTTTCATTTTGTTGACTTTATTTTTTGTTATCGTTATTTTATTTTATTTTTAGCTGACACATAATTGTACTTGTGGGGTACAGTGTGATATTTCAATACATGTATATACTGTGTAATGATCAAATCAGGGTAATTAGCATATCCACCATCTCAAATATTTATAGCTTCTCTGTGATGAGAACATTCAAAATCCTCTCTTCTAGCTATTTTGAAATATATAACACATTATTGTTAACTATATCCACCCTACTGTGTAATAGAATACTAGAACTTATTATCTGTCAGGCACTTTTTTCCACCACTTTTTTAAAATCCATCAGTGAAAACAATGCCATGGCTAAAGCTAGCCACCATGTTTAGTGGGCATGGTGTGTTGTAGAAGTTATATTTCTCCCAAAGAGATTTTCATAAGGACAGTTTTTCCAGCATCTACTTCAATGTGTATTTCTAAATGAGTAAACTGGGACATAGGTCATATGCTCTTAAATAAGCTGCCCCTGTTTGCCTGCAGCTTTACAGCAGGCCAAATCGACTCTTGTCTGGTGTGCCACTGTACAAAGGGGACGGGCAGACTCAAGATAAATCTGCAGTTACATCTTTGCTGGATGGACTGAACCAGGCCTTTGAGGAGGTTTCATCCCAGGTAGGGCTGTGTTATCGGTGTGATTGTCTTGGTTCGTAGGGTCTTCTCTTGCTTGTGTTGATTTCCTTGGCCTCTGGAAAGTTGTTCCACCCATGCACATGAACTGTTGAGACCCCCACACTAGTGATGAGACCTAAAACAAAGAGCCACTAGACATGGAGTCTCATCCTGTTTTTCTTTGATTCCTCAAAACACTATAACTGATTCACCGTTTTTTTGGTATATGTTTGTTTTCCAGGGTGGAGGGACAAAGAGGCAAAGTATACACTTGGAACAGAAGTTATATGATGGAGTCTCAGCTACCTCTACTTGGTTGGACGATGTTGAAGAACGTTTATTTGTTGCCACAGCACTTTTACCAGAAGAAGCAGAAACTTGTCTCTACAACCAAGAGGTAAGTTTGGCAGTTTCTGCCTGTGCATGTGTGATATTACAGAGCACTTGAAATTTTGATATTGGATAATTAATTTATGTATAAAGAAGGTCAAGCATAAAATAATTTTTAATAAAGAACAAATTGGGTGTATTTCCATGTAGCATCATATAGAACAGAATTGCTTAAATATAAGTCACTCTCAAAGATATTTATGTTTTGTGTTTTTAATTCTTTAACTTGTGTATGTAAGAGGAGGAAAAAATGGAAAACTCTTTGTAGAAACAATGTTGTATATCATAGATCTTCCACATATGAAACACAGGCTAAAAAAATGTACTGAATTCTTAAATAACCATTTACAAAACTCATTTTTAACCATTGTATATTATTAGTAGCTAGTGATATAAAGTTACTGAGAAAAATCTCTCTTCAAGAGCAGCTTGCCTAAAATGTATAAAAGTATATATAAAAGAGGTTCAAGTTGTCTTCATTAGAATTATTACTAAGCATAAGAGATTTATTTGACTTTCTATGAGGAAATGACTTGATATGCATATCAATTTGTGCATCTAAACACTGAAATGAGGGTCTTCTTTTATCAACCCTAGACTCTTGCCAAAGACATTAAGGAAATGTCTGAAGAAATGGATAAGAACAAGAACTTGTTTGCTCAAGCCTTTCCAGAGAATGGGGATAATCGAAATGTTATTGAAGACACTTTGGGTTGTCTTTTGGGCAGGTTGTCTTTGCTAGACTCAGTAGTGAACCAGCGTTGTTGTCAGATGAAGGAAAGACTTCAGCAAATACTAAGTTTTCAGGTAAGTAAG